GCAGTTTCCAGGGAAGCATTTCTATTTTCCAGTTTGCTTTTGCACAGCTGCTGAAAGAGCAGAATTGCAACTGCAGCATTGTCAGTTACAATCCTGGCAGGGTTGTTATCACCCATCCAGCTTTCCCTGTATAATTGGGAATTCAGTGCAGCTCTTGCTGAAGAAAGTTGGAGTTTTTTGAGTTTCATTGAGATTTCGTAAGTGCTTCAGATAACCACAGCTAAAAGCACCCAGTGTGCTTGTACTGAAGCAAGGACAAGCAGGTTTTGTTTTTGTCCCTTTTTTTCAGGTCAGTGGTCCCCAGAATAATTATGGTTGGACACACAGCCTCAATTCCAGGAGGATGATATTGCAGCTTAAATGTTTGACATTGAATCCTAGCTGCAAATAAACAAATTCTAGCCTTCACATAGGGTTTGAACTGGAATAAATGCAATATTTTGGTCTATGCCTTACATTCAGAACCTGAAAATTGATTCATTACTATAATAAAAAGATATGCTTTAATTTCTTAGAATGCTCATTGTAGGGCACTGAGAATAAAAATTAAATGTGTCAGCAGAAGTTAAACCAATTTGCCCATTTTAATTCCATTTTATTTGGTATATTTCACATTCATAACTAATCTGAAAAATATCGACAGGCTGACATTTAATTAAAAAGTATGTCACATTCCTCTGCATGGGGAAATTAGATGTTGATTTCACACTGATTTAACATTGCTCTTCTAGGCTGCTCTTGCAGCTGACATTTGTGTCTTTCCCCTGGGTATCCCAACCCAGTGTCTGAACTAATCAGCAATGGCTGAACATTGAAAGGTTTGGGCATTTTGGAACAAATTATACATATTCCAACTCAGAAATAAATTAATAGGAAATGTACTAGTAGTATCATATACAGTCAGTGGTCCACACCTACTGATTTATGGAAGATAAAATAAAATGCATGGTTTGCTAGACTAACTTTTAATCTAATTTTTCAAGTTGTCAGGATAGGCAGCACACTGATACTACTGCCAACAGTCTCCAGTAACTTCATGGAGCAGTATAACTTCAAATAAGATGGAATACCCTGGAGAATATTGTGTGTTGAGTATAAGATTTTTCTGATGGGGATTTCCATTGCACATTTCCATTGTAAATCTCTCTGGGATTGATATGGAGAAGGGACATTACACAGACATGTAGCTCCCACTTTAGAGCTGGAATAATTAATGTAGATTATATTTTTAATGTGTGTGTGTGATATAGGTGTTTGGGAGGATTTGGGGCAGGGTGAGTTGTTTGGGTTTTATTATTTTTAATGAACAATTTGTGTAACTTCTACCTCTGCACCTGGGTGATCTTTAAATTTACTTTTTTTCCCTCTGTTTTATCAACAAACAGTAATAAATAAAGGACTGTCCATTAAATTTGCTCAGAACACAATCCCATAATAATCATCTGCAACAGAAGAAATTCTGTGTTCTGTTCTTATTGATACACCTCATCTTGCAGCTGTGGACGTGGCTTTCCCATGTTATTTGCTGGAGGTTCCCTTTGTGGGCTCTGAGTAGCAGCAATGAATTTCATTTTGTCAGTGGCAGCTCTGTGCAGTGGAATTGGAATTACTTTGTTACAGAGCAATTCAGTAAAGGAAACAGGAAACTAAACTTGGGTGCTCAGACTACCAATGTCTGACCCATCAGCTGTCCCCTCACCAGCTTTCTTATTCTCGCGGGCTTAGGGGGGCTCAGGTGTTTTCCCCAGGCCTGAAGCACACCTGGTGCATGCTCAGGAGCACTTCCTGGCTGGAACAAAGCACAGGAGTGCAAAGTAGGAGTTGGAGGAGTTATTGCATGCAATTGTGTGTCTTCACTCTGCTTGACCTTGTGTGAAATGAAATTTAGCCCCAAGTTTCCACAGTCTCTTCAGTTTAAATATTACAAAGAAAATGCCTCTAGTGCATATCTGTTTCTCTTACTGCACTGCTGAGCACTTTCACAAATTCTGTAGAGCTGTTAACCTTAAAATAAATTTCTTCTAAGTGTCATTTCCTCCTCACACTCACTACTAGCCAGTTCACAGCTCAGAGCATTGCCTGTTCACTGGTCCCTTGTAACTTCTGAGTCTCTCTGTGCTGAGCTGAGACTTGAAACCTTCTTCTTTCACTCTCAATAGTCTGATCACCCAGAGAATTTCTGCTCAAAACTTCAGCTGTGGCAGGTGGACGAAGCAGCACTGACACAGAACAACCTTGCCCTGCAGGACACAGGAGATTCTCTGCTTTTTTCTGTGGAATGATCAAGAGCAAACAGAAATATGATGCCAGCATTAGAAAGGGACCTTGTTTTGTGGGAGCAGTGTTGTTCTTATTGTACCTGTTGTATTTGCTTCACTTCTAATTTAATGGATTTTACTCACTTCATGTACCCACTGCTGAAAATATCTCCTGAATGACACCTCAAACCCCTTGTAGGCCTCTGAGTCTTCTAATACAGATGCCCATAGTAGCAGGAATTTTTCACTCCTTTGGAAGTTTGCCTATAGGACACAGACCAAACACCTTTCAGTTTTCTGAAAAGCCACCAAGGGGCAGCTTCCTTCACACTGCTTGGAAGCAGATGGGTAGGAAAGCCTGCCCAGTTGTCTTGGTTTAGGCTAATTCCAGTTGGCAATGACAAGGTCAGCCTAAAGGGGGGAAAATGAACATTGAGAGACTTTATTTTTAATCTGAACAGACCTGTGACGGCTCTAGGAATTTGATGCCTTTCAGTTATCAGGCACGTAAGGATAAATTCTTCTGGACTGTTACTAATTTTATCTTCCTATGAAGTACTGTTGCCTTCACTCTGAGTTTTTCAGGTTTGGTCAGTCCTTTAAGCCCTCAGCCCCTTCCACTCTTGCCTGTTTCTCCTAGGCAGTAGGTTGGTAAAAACCAGATGTTTGGTAAGGTTGTAATATTTCTCCCTGCAATGCCTTTGCCTCTTGTGTATGACTTAACTTGGCTCCAGCCACCTGAAATCTCAAAGAGAAAAATGAGTTCCCTTGGATGACAAGCATCTTCTGTTTTCCATCTGAACTGAAATCTGCTTATCTCTGAAGCAAGCAGATTTTTGGATTATATAAGCAAACCAAGAAAATAATTATAAACATGTTTTCTTCTGTGCTTGCCTAGAAAGATGAAGAAATTAAGAAGGATAATTACCATGAAGGTTTTTTGCCCCACAGATGTTACAAAGCACATTTCTGTGTCAGAACTCCTGGATACAGTGCCTGCCATCTTGTGGACACGACACACTCTGTCTGAATCCTTGAGACAAATATTTAAAGACTATGTGATATTTGTAGCTCAATGCAAACAATCTTTCTTCTTGGGGACTTATTTTTCAATTGAAGTTACTTGAGTTTGCATCCCTTACTTTTGAGGATGCTTGATTTCCTCTGTTCCAGTTGTCACCAGCTGTAAAACTATCCAATGTAAAATCCTCTGCAGTTTTCTATTTAAGTAAGTTAAAATCAATAACCTAAAATGTTTATCTGAGAACCAGTCAGAAGTAATTCTGAGAAATCTGTCACAGCAGCATAATTGCTACATGCCAACAATAAGGAGAAAATTATTTTAGAAATTCCCTTGCTCCAAATCTGAAAACAAAAATATTCCTCTTATTACAGACATAAACAAGTTGTAAAAATATTATTTGAAATTAAGATATCTATATTTTTATTGACCATACTAGCTTGATTCTTTCTTGGCAGAATTTGAGTGACAACTCTTACATCATTCTTTAGTGAGTGAAAAATCCTTTCCAAATGCAATAAGGATTCATTCTATGGGGAAGGCTCTAAACCCCCCAGTATTTGTCAAAATATTATGCTTGCTGAATGAGATCATTTCCCTTTTGTAAAAGTCCTTTGGAGACAGCCCACTGCCTGTTTTTCTAAAATTTATGGTAAAAGTTCCCAAAAACAAGTGTGTGAAAGTTTTAAAAAATTGTTACAAAGGTGATGTTTTTGCTGTTACACTGAAAGTACAGTTCTAACAAGAAACAGCTTCAGCTGTTGGTCTGACTTAAAATCTAATTTGAACTCAATTTTTTTGTTTAAAATAAAAAAGACTGTAATTCAAATCTGATTTAATTAATAAAAATTAGTGGACAAATTGTCAAACAAATCACTCTCATCTGATTAAATAAACATTAGGATTCATTGTGCTGGTAGCTGTGTCTGCCCTACAGGTGCTCAGAGCCCTTCCTGGCTTTAGGGCAGATGTTTGGATTGCTCCTGCAGAGGTGCTGGAAGGGTGAGCCAGTACCAAGCCCTCCCACCACCCAGGTGTAACAGAATTAGTGCACAGAGGTGGCAGCTCCTCACAATAGATTTGTGAGGCAGCTCTGGAGTGCTGAAAGCTGTCAAGGAAGGGGCAAAGCAGCTGGGTCAGATATGCAAGTGAGGGTAACATAAGCTGCTCAGAGAACTGATAACTCACTAAACAATCATCTGGGACTGAACGCACGTGTTGCAAGTGCTTGAAGGTTGTAAACGAGCTGGCTCTAATCACAATTAATGAGGCTGTGCACAATGTGATAATCATTAGGAACTGTGTTTGCTGACCAGTGCTGGACAGTTATTTATAAGCTGGACTAAACTGAGCCATACATTTGCAGAGAAGCAGTTTATTTTTAGTTCCTGTAGATTCTGTTGTGATTGTGTCACAGACCACATGATTTTGCTGCAGGGCAAATTCAAGAGGAGCTGTGCATACAATCAAGACTTGCAGAATCTCTACACCCAGTAGATCAGCCAGCTCTCACCAGCCTACCTGAGGCTTTCTAGTTCACTTATCTTTATTACTAGTCTTTGTAAGCATGTTCAATTGTTTACTGATTGCTTTGTTTATCATAAAGGATCGGTCTGAAAAGACAAAGGTTTCATTGCAAACAAAAGTGTCCTAAACATTTGGTATCCAGTGTAAGAAGCCACTCAAGGCTGCACAGCAAATTTGGGGAAGTGTTTTCTTACCGTGTAGCAATGGCTGATGAGATTGCATTTCCCCATGGTTAGTCATCTGTTTGGTAAATGGCTGTCAGTGCTCACATTGCTGCTGCTGTTTTAGCTCCGTAGCTGTGACATTTGTGCCCAGATGATAAGCTTCCTGGCTTGCTGCTTCCTACAGATAATCAAATGACCAGATATGACATAAAATGTCTGAGTTTCTGAAACAGAAACTGACCCCTTCCAAGCTGAGACTTGAGAGATTCACTGAAGTGGCTTCAATGAACGCAGTCCTGCAGAGGTGGGCAACTGAAATGCTAAACATGATGTCAAAGCTATTCTTGAATCATGTAACCTAAGTAAAAAAACCTAGAAATTATAAATCAATACATAATTCAATATTGATAACTCATAAAGTGAGAGAAGCATAAGAAAATAAATGCTCATTGCAATATAGCTTTGCACATAATGTGTGAGTGATGCTAGAAGCAGACTTTAAGAGAAGGGGGTATTTGAGGCCTGTTAGTTATCCCTATTGGATAACTATGAATTGTTAGTAATATGGCCTCAATCTTTATACATATTTCTGTAGTTCTTGCCTATATCCCAACTAGATCACAATAATCCTGGTGTCCAGATGACAGCTGTGTGAATATTCTCTCAGAATTATGCACAAGAGAATACTGTACCAATCCTTACTCACTTTAGATCCACAGAGCTGGATCAAAGCACTTCATGAAAACATGCCTGGCTGCTGCCCCAAGCAAAATAGCAGGAAGCTTCACTGTAAGATTTAGGTCAGTGATTTCAGTGTCAGATACAAGAGCTGGCAAGGCTGATTTATGGCAAGATTATACCACAGCTTGGCCAAACAGCAGGTCAGGCATTATGCTGGAGGAAGGGTAAAAGGAAAGGATTTTTGCACCACTTACTTCAGCAATGACATCAGAGCAGTGGAAATCATGTTTCAGTTCTGTCTACAGGAAAAATAATCAGGCAGCTTTATTTTTAAAATCACATCCTTCCTGTACCCTGTCAAGGGAGTAGGAAGATGAATTTGAAGCGTAAATGGTTGGAGAATTGTAATTTTCCTCTCCATTTTGTCATGACATTAATAGATCATTCATCAAATAGTGGTTAACTTAATCAAGACAGACCTGCTGTTTTTAAAGGTGAAGCTTTTCTATCATAACCATTTATTTTTGGTTGTTCATACTAGGAGAACCATTACTGGCAGTGAGTGGTTATTCTCCTCAAAATCCTTTACATGAAGTGCAAAGTGTTCTGAGAAAAAGAAATCTATCATTTCCTCTTTTGACACCACACTTTTGTCTCACTCTCTAGGGGAGACAATATGATTTACATACTTAAATATTTTGCTGTACTGTGTTTTGCAGTCTGGCAGCTGTTATCAGTTGTTATGATGACCAAATAACACTACGGGAGTTGGTAATTAAGAAGGAAGCAGTACTAGAAGGACAGCAAAGTTCTAATAGTTAGATTTGTCAATCAATTGCATTCCTGGGGAATCACTTGCAGTTTTAGACTAAATATACTGCTTCTGTTGAACATGATAAATGACTCTGAAGTGTGGGATCCTGCTGTCATCTTTGAGGCTTCTCATGTGAACTTCAAAGCTTGTATTATTGTACTAACTGTTGAAACTGTGTTGGAGTTTTTGTTCTGTTTGCTTAGCAACTTGAATCAGCCATTGCAGCAGTGAAAGAAAAAGCAAACATGCTTTCAGATTATTTGGCTTAATGTATCTACCTTGCTTCTCTTTAAATCTGTCTTTGTACATTGATCATTGTGGTACAACTCCATAAGTATCTAGTATTGCTGAAATGATGAAAAGTCACAGAAATTCTTATCTACCTTCAACAAATCAGTATATGCAAAATGACATACACACATAAAATATTTATTTGTATGTGTGCAAGTCCTGTGATTTCCAGGCAGGGGAAGTTTAAGGTGAGATGAAGGTTTACTTATTTACACGTTATTGAGAACATATTACAGTATGTAAAATATGGCTTAAAGCCTTTTAAATGTACATTAACTTTTGGAACTTCATTTAGCTTCTTTTACAGAAGCCTACTGCTGTAAAAGCAAAGGCTAGTAAATCCAGCATGCAATTATTTTTGAGGCTAAACTGACATCTGCTGGTGTTCTGCAATAGCGTGTGTGCAATCAGTGTGATGACAAAACATCACTATATTCTTTGTACATTTCCACGGTGCTGTTAGCAGCCCTGGTGATGACTCAGTACAGCAGAGAGAAGCTGAAGAGTGAATAGAGCAGGTGGGGCTGCTGATCACACCGTGCCACGGGACTGGGGATGGAGCAGAGCTCTCGTGGTTGCATCCTGCTGCATTTGTGTGTCAGGCTTCTGAAACTGCCATGGGGCCCCTTTTTCTTCTGATTTTTTAAAAACGAGTTATGTTTGTAATCTTCAGGTACACAGCTCATAGGGAAGTTGGGGGGGGGAATAAAAAGCTGTATCAGTTTCTAGCCACATTTCCTCATGCTGGGGGGAAATAAAAAGCTGTATCAGTTTCTAGCCACATTTCCTCATGCACGCCTTGAGCCTGCACTGCTGTGTCCCCACAGTGGCACTGCTGTGTCCCCATAGGGACCTCCTGTGAGTGCCACTGCACAGGCAGCAGCTTCGGGGAACCCTCTGGGATCCTGGGCCTAACCCAGGTAGGCTGTTGGGCTGCAGCTCTCCATTAGACTACGAAATTTGGCACAAAATAACCCCACTTGTGTTGGAAATCAGAGGGGCTGAATGCAGCTGGCGTTAATTTCTGGTTATTATCACTGTGGCACTCTAGTCTGGTTGTGTTTAATAAGAACATCCACAATCACAGATCCATAAACAGTGCTACTTATTGAAGCAACAGGGATACAGATTTGGAATTGCTGTTGATAAATGCTGTTAGTGCATTAGCACCAGCCAATGGTTAAGCTAAGTTAGCTTCAAGCTAAATTAAAAATTCAGTTTTTCATTACACTTAACTTCACAGTTATTTAAGCTTAGTTTCACCCAGGTATGGTCTGACACAGAGACACGAAACTTAATAAAGAGGGATCTCTCCTTTGGGGAGGAGAGAGGAGCAAAACCATCCACTTGTCTATGAAATGGGGTCATATTCTCATCCTCTACACGGAGGATTCCAAAGATCAATTTTATATTTTCAGATAAATAGAGGTGAGACTGCAGTCAAATACAATTGGTTACCTGTTGCTTCCATCTTAAACAGTGGGGAGGAAGGCACTTTCTCAGTTGCACGTTGGTGTATGTTTCATAGGGAAATGAGGGATAATGAGGGTTTCAGTTACCTTTGGTCAGGCTGAGTTAGGATTCATGGTTGAATCAAAGGCAGAACAGAAGCATGATACTTCAGTATTGCTTCCTCCTCCACTCAGCTGAGGCAGCAGTAAAGGTCATCCAACCTTTGCTTGATCATCTTTATTCCCATCAACATTTTACAACTGCACATCATCATCACAGAATCGTAGAACAGCGTGGGTTGGAAGGGACCTTTAAATATCATTTAGTCCAAGGTGCCTGCAATGAGCAGAGACACCTTTCAGTAGATCAGGTTACCCAGAGCCCTGTCCAACCCAGCCTTGAATGTTTCCAGGGGCATCCACCACCTCTCTGGGCAAACTGTGGCAGTGGTTTACCACCCACATTATAAAAGCCTCCTTTTTATATCTAGTCTAATCTAAACCGACCCCTCCTTCAGTTTAAAATCATCATATTTTTTCCTGTTGCAACAGGCCCTGCTAAAGTTTGTCTCCAATTTTCTTATAGATCCCCTCCAAGTACTGAAAGGAACAGTAAGGTCACTCTGAAGCCTTCTCCAGGCTGAACATCTCCAGCTCTCCCAGCCTGTCTCCAGTGCAGAGGTGCACAGCCCTTGGCACATCTTCATGGCCACCTCTGGACTTGCTTCAGCAGCTCCACGCCCTTGTTACGCTGGGGGCCACCTGAATGCAGCCCTGCAGGTGGAGTTTCATGAGAGTGGAGCAGAGAGACAGGATCCCCTTGCTTGCCCTGCTGGCCACACATCTCCCACAGGACCAGATTTCTACTTCTAATACAGCCTGCTGTGTGTGGATAAGGGGGCTGAGGCCCTGTGTCCATACAATGTGTGTGCACACTCTCTGCTTCACTGAGGCACTGGGCTGGGAGCTCTACACTTTAGCCCAGACACCATGAAGGGCTTAAGCCTCACTCAAGTCAGGTGTAATATAAGCAAGTGCCTCAACTCATCCTTGCCCAACCAGCCTTATCAATTCTCCATAGCAAACCTGCCAATTTTCCACAAGCTTGTCACTGACAATCAGGAATAAAACTCCTTAACACCCATGTAGTATTAAGAAGCAGGGCTTTACTTTTTATGGTGCCTAATGGACAGGATAATTCTGCCTAAGGTGCATGCTTGGCTCTAGGTGGTATTTATTAGCAAGGATATACATATTCCTCAGAAAAGTGTTACAGTTTGTTACTTTAGGTGGCCACAGAGCCCACTGCCTGTGCTGGGCTGATTTGTTCCACTGACCACTAAACAACATTCCATTAATTGTGACTTCTGTGTCATTTTCCACATGTTCACAAGTGCTGTGGTGACCTGGTCAGCCACAGACTGGCTAAAGCTGATGCTTCGTTCACCCAGGGCCATCCAGCAAAAGGACTGGAAAGGCAGAATTAGCAAATGGTGAGGAGGAGGATGGATAGTGAGAGGAAACACACTCACGTACCACTAAACGGATACCAATTGCCTATTTGGACATTTGGGGGAAACAGTAGTGGGGCAAAAAGGAGAAATGTTACTGGGGTCCCCAAGGAGGAGCATGGGCCAGCCTAGACTAGATGCAAAACCCAACACATGAGAGAGCATGGCAGCTGGAGTAAGAAGGCTTTCAGTTGAAGGCCATGCCTTATTTCACCCTGGGAGATGTGTTCAGTCATATCTTCTCTCTTCTGTGGCTCCTAAGCTGCTCACGGTCACCTGGGGAAGGGGCTTTATTTATTAAGAGAACAAGTATTTCAACTTTAGTTAATCCAGGCCACCAAAGCCCAAATTACTCAGGTTCTGCTTCTGGAAAAATAATACATTATGTGATTTCTTGATAATGGTGTAAATGTATTCACCTTTAAATCTAGTTCTAATCTCAGTGCTGACGAATCACACTCCACACTCCTCTCCCTAAACCAGGGGGAATGGAGCATTCACGCCCTCAATACTCTCAACATCTGATGACATCCCCAAGCACCCCTACTTGCAGGTGATTCAGTAGATTACTGTGAATCTAAACCCAGCTGAAGCAGGGCTTCATGTTGGGTTTATCATCACTTTGGGTAAACTTCTTTCATCTTATAAAACCTGACTCCTTGCTCCAGGATGGATTTCAATTGAAGCTTTATGTGTGTTCTTTAGGGCAAGGTTCAAGAAAAGATTTAAACACAAAACTAGGACTTTGATGGATTTTAGATGTTCTCAGCCAAAAGGCCTTATGAACTGTCCCTGCTGATAACCTGCAGGGGTTATCAAGTCTCTTCAGTCTAAGGTAGATTCACACAAACCAGCATGTGAAGCAGTCCCTTTTGAAGCCCGTTTAGGGATCTGGCCATAATTTACTTTTGTGCTATCCTGGAGCTCGATAGAGGAAGGATTGACATACTCTTGTGTTTTCCAAAGGCTGAACTGAATCCAATTGCTTGTAAAGGCACTACCTAAAATCACTGAATCTTGAACTTGGAAGTTTTGTTGATCATGTTTATGTGTTCTTGTGTGCTGTCTGAAATACCTGATATAGTAACATAAAGGGCACTGCAGAATTACAGAAGTGATTTCCCTGCAGTGCTACAGACCGCGGTGCTTGGCTGCGCTGCCCACGGGGCAGTTGAAGATTACCGGTTTAATGGGAGCGAGCTCTTGGCGACAGCCGCGGAGTTCCCGATGGCCCTGGCTGCGAAATGCGTCAGGAGTGCCTGTACTTCCACAGGCTTTCCCCGTTCCCTTCCCGTCCTGCCCGGACCGGCCGCTGCCGGGAGCCGATGGGTCGGGGGAGCGGCCCAAGCGTTTCCCGGACAGGGCCCGGCCGGGCCAGCGCAGCGCCCGCCCGAGCAACCCCCGCGGCGCCTGCTCGCGGCTCCAGGGGGAAGGGGAGGAGGAAACGCGGGTGGGGACGGGACGGGACAAGCCCTGCTGACGGTGGCTGCGCCCGGGCGAGCGGAGACGAGCGGAGAGGCGAAGAGGGCTGGCGGGCACGTCTCGGCACGGTAAGGGCTGTGCCGCGCTGCCCGCAGCCCGGCGGGGCGGCGGGCAGGGCAGAGCAGGGCAGCGCGGGCGGCGGGGGAGCTTCGCTCCTCCACCGGGGCCGCTCCCGGGCCCGAGCGCTGCCCTCCCCGGGCCGCTCCCAGTGCTCCAGTGCTCCGGCCCGGCTGCGGGGAGGGCGAGAAGCCGCGGCTGTGAGGCTGGTGCCGCCCCGCAGGAGCCCCCGGGGCACCGAGGGCAGGTGGGGGCTTCACGGGCCAGCGGTGTCCCGAGCGGCGCAGCGCCGGTCCCGGTCCCGGGACGGTCCGGGAGAGGCCGTGGGCGACGCCTCCTGCCCTCGGCGGTGCGGGCGGGGGCCGAGCGAGGCCGGGGTTTCGCTTTCCCCAGCGCGGCAGGCGGAAGGTGGCCCTTTCCTTAGGGAATGCTCCGGCTCCTCTCGGGCCGGCCCTGCCCTGCCCCGAGGAGGGGGTTACTCGCAGGATGAAGCCACTCACAGGATTATTCCAAAACTGTTGATTACTTGATAAAAGTAACACTTTGAGCTCTGAAATCGCTCTTGCCGGCAGAACACACCGTGCGGGTACTATTTCTACTTCACCACTATAGAATTCAATGTGACCATTTGATTTCCTGAAATCATTATATGTCAAGAGTCTTTTTTGTTGTGATTACTGGATTTTATTCTCTCACAAATGCCTGGGAAATTTAAACAACTTAGAGATAGTATTTCTCAGCAGGTTGGTAAACTAGGAAGTTGTCCAGGGTTCAGATGAAGTTGGTGGTCCAAGAAGGTGCTGTGTTAGGGCTTTGCACTGCAAAAATCTGAGTGCTCTGATAAACCTGTATATCCTGCTGGGTTGTTAAAAGCCTTCAACCTGTATTTCATTCTCGGTGTTCTGGCCGGTAGCTGTGTTAGACTCTGATGCCCAGAGAGCCCTCTAAACCAGCCGTGGTGTTGGAGGGCAGCTTGGGATTTCTAGTGAAGAGGACTGCGTAGGAATTGTTGAATTTAAGGATTAAGTTGTGTCAAATTTTAGCAAGAGATTAAGGGAAGGGCAACAACCAATTTGTTTGGCCAGACTAGGTTAGGATAGTTGTAGTTTCAAGCAGTTCTCTACTAGATGGGGTTTTGGTTGGTTGGTTTTTTACATACCAAGCAGAGAGGTGGGCTATTACCTTCTTTGTCACTTGTCCCCAGCCTAATTTTTAAGACCTGGAATGTGAAACACACTTGCACAGGCTGTATGAAGTGATGGTTCAAATACCTCTTCAGAGTTGACATTTAAAGCAGAAGGGACATTAGAAAAATGAAACTGAAAAGGTGAAGTTGTAGTTACATCTACAGTATTCAGTACGTTGAAGAGGCTTTTTTTGTAGTCCCGATGTCATCTTGATGTTTATTAGGAATTTTTGTTTTGGTAGATAACTTCAAGGAATTCATACATGGTTTTAGTTTTTTAGCATTCACTGTAGTACTTTGTACATGTTATTTGTGCTACAGATTTGAAACTTTTAAAAAAATAAAAGGGATTCCACAAAGTGCTGTTAGGACCTGAGATCTGTTCATGTTTATCTACAGAAAAAGAAAAGTGAAAGTGCAGAAAAAAGCACAGTGATCACTTTTAAATTGAAATGGTTGTTCAAAACCATTTGGTGGTAAGAAATGAACATGCAATGTAATTTAAAACAAGTAAATATCAAGACTTGAAGTGTTCATGCTGGAAGTTATATAATTCTGAAATCTGTGAAAGGGTGTAATTCAACAAGTTTCTTAGAACTTGCTTGTCAGTGAAGCAGAGCTGAGCAGCTGAAGTAGCTGTGTGTTTAACCCCACCTGGCAAGTGAGCACCACACAGCTGCTCACTCACTGCAGCCCTGAAGAAACTGGATGGAGTGAGAAAACTCATGGATTGTGATAAGAACTGTTTCACAACTGAAATAAAATAATAAGAAAAATAATAATTTAAGAGTTGTAATGAAAAGTAAAGTAACAGAGGGAAATACAGTCCAGCAAGTGAAGCAAATGAGAGCAATTGCTCACCAGCAACCAACCAATGCCCAGCCAGGCCCTGATTAGTATTTCCCTCCCAAAAACCTTCCTGGTTTTGTTGCTGAGCGTGATGCTTTGTGGTCTGGAATATCCCTTTGGCCAGCTGTTCTGGCAGTGTCCCCTCCTGGCTTCTTGTACACCCCCAGCCAACACCAGCACACCAAGTGGGGCCAGTAGATCGTGATTCAGCTCTGTAGTTTAGTCACAAGGAGGAAACTTCTCATTTCTAAAGAAAACACAAGATCACAATTTTTTTAAGGTATTGCTGTAAAATACTTGTTGCTACAAAAACTTACTGAGTTTCAACATCTTTGACGGCTGTCTTGTTCCCTCTTCAATCTGCCAAAGCTGCAGTGTGAGTATGAGGAAGGTGGGAAGGAGTAATGTTTGTCCCAGGCTTACCACAATTACAGCTCCAGCACCTGTAGCCATGTCTGTTCTTCTGTACCAACTCCTATGTTTGTCCTGGCCACGGGGCTACTGTAAAACCACACTTGATTGAGTACACAGTTCCCTTTGTAATACACCTTTCCACATTTCTGCTAAATCTGCTGGGAAGACGGTGGGACTCCTGAAATGTATAAACATTGGTGTTTGCTGGTGTATCCCCGTGCCTCCAGTGCAGCTGATTAGTCCTGTGTGACCTGGAAGAGTGAACAAACCTGTGACAAGTTCTTTATGGAAGTGTTCATAGACTTCACTGAAATCCTGATGAAAGCTGTATTGTGTGAGGAAGGTAATCAGCAGTATTCCAGGGACTTTTCCAAGCTCTGGGAGAGTGGAAAGGCTTGTGTCATTGTTGGGGACTTGTGTGCTGGGTCTCACCCAAGCTTTGTGTGGATGGAGTGACACCAGTCCTAAACAGACACACCTGAAATTCTTTCTCTTTGCATGTTGTCTTTTGTACCTTCAAATTGCATCAGTGCAATTTCCCTTCTTTTGTTCACAGTAGTGCTGTGGGTAATTGGAGTCCCTATATAAGTTTCATAGCACCATAGAATTAATATCCCAAATACAGGTTGCCTTTCCCAGATAGTACTGAGTGAAAAGACATGAATGTGTATAGAGGGATCGTGTGTGTGGCAGCAGAATGGAGTGTGGCTCTTGGAGAGCTGTCTGATGGTCCTTAGGAGGAAGGGGAAAAGTGAGATGCGTGGTCAGCATTGATGCCATGAGACCTTGTTCCACAACGAAAATGGTGGGCAGACTATAGGAAGTGGGTGGCTGGGGAGGAGGAGAGGAAGTCTGCATTGAAACCACAGTAGTTTCTAGGCGGTGGTCAGCGTTCCTGTCCTCTGCAGCAAAATAACAATTGGTGAAGGAAAATTTGCCCAACAAATTCATTAAAACATTGCTAAGAAGTGAAAATGGTGAGGGTACATATATTAGATATACTTGACAGTTGTAAAAGCTTTGAGTTCAGTTGGACATGCTTAATTGTTTGGGTTTCTTTTTCCTTTGATATAATTACTTCTTTCAAATTGCAGCAGAGGTAAATACTATATTGAAGTTTCACCACAAACCATGTGGCAACTACCATGTGGCCTATCATACTGTTCCATTTTTCAGCTGAACAAGAGAGATTAGAAATAGTGTTCTTGGAGAATTACCAGACTTAGATTGTTTAGTATACTAATAAAGATGCCCCACCTCTCTGCTTTAGTATTTTTAATTTATAAAGGAAGAATTGGTGTTGGGGCAAAGTGTAAAAAATTCCCAGTGAAAAGGAATTGGGAAGTAGGCAATAACAACAATGAAATCAAGAGTGACATTTAATACTATCAGAAACAAATACCAGCCAATTAATTTCATGCTGGTAAAAGTCCCTTTTGAGCTAGTTATCTTCTTGCTGTTGAGTTGAGCCTAATTATTTGTCGATTGCCATTAATAAACAATACCTTTTGTTATGGTTTTCTCTCTTTTATGTTTTAGATACAATGTATGCTGCAAGTGGCAATCCTACCCCATCTGCACCACCTTCTTATGAGGAAGCTGTAGGAATCAATGTGAACTATCCTCACCCCTATCCTGTCCCTGGCCTGGGGCAGAAGCCAGATGGGAAAGGAATGAATCCTCCCCCACACATGGGACAGCCTCCAGCAGCAAATAACCCCGGTAAGCCTCCAAAACTTTTCTGTACCTCATGTTAAGGTGATGTCAAAGTGGTTGTATTATAAGTGTTGTTAGAAGATGAAAAATTGTGGTTTGCAGGTGTTCAACGCCTGCCAGAAATACTTTTGAAGAGAATAAGGTTAATCAATTCTTGTGAATTCCTCAGTGTGCAGTGATACCAGTAACATCGTTTGGCTTTCTGAAGTTTTTAGTGCAGCTTTATTTTTAAGACAGTGTATTTCTGCATTAGGAAATGCCATGGTTATTTCAGTCTGTTGTTGTGTATGTCATTGTTCTGAGCCCTGAATATTTCAGTGATACCTGGATTAGAGGAAGTTGATTGCTGCTCTTTTTCCCTGTTCCTCCTGGAGTAAACAGCCGTTTCTCTGCCCAGTTACTGTTCAGACGGTGTACGTGCAGCAGCCAGTAATGTTTTATGACCGCCCAGTTCAGATGTGCTGCCCTTCCTGTAACCAGGTGATAGTGACACGTCTCTCGTATGACTCAGGAGCTTTGACCTGGCTGTCATGTGGTGGCCTCTGCCTGCTGGGGTAAGTCAACTCAAATTTGCACTTTTACCTTGACTTTTTTTAGCTTTAACATGTGACAGAGC